AAACATCTAGTTTTGTTTAAAAGCACAATTTGGTTGAATCAGCCAGCATTAAACACATTTGTTGACGATTGACAGAAATATCTTTGTGACTTGTTTACTTTGTAATGAAATCGTAACAAAATTTTGTTGCATGCATTTCGGTCGACATATAAGCTTTTTAAATGAATTCGCCCTTTCTCATGAAAAGCATCGAATTTTCAAAGTGCTGGCTTTCAAAACTGATATACTGAGTAATAGTAGAAATGACTTTCAATTCAGCAAATTTTATACGAATTTGTTTTATATTTATAACTAAGGGTGAGATTTCTGTAGGAGTAAACTAGCAACTATTAAACTGTCTAATAGAAACGTGTTTACTGCAACAGAAATTTAATTTCCTTAGTCGTGAGCGGAGACTGAAATGATCGGAAGCGCTATAATAATCAGTTGAGGAGGTGGCGGAATTGTTGTTGGCGGTGGTGATGATGACAGTGGGTTTGGCTGGGTGGGGAAAGTGAAGCGAGCTGGATGTCTACTGGCAGAGTTTATGGTCCGTTCGTGCACCAATATTATTTCGGTGCGTTTATAGTCGGCTTCAAAAGACCGCTGCGCAAGAGCGTTCGAGGGTGCTATTGTAAACACAGACGGAGAAGTTGCAAGGGAACCATAAACTGTCGCGTTGAGGGTAATAACATTTTTGTAGCAAATCAGCATGGCACACTACCTTTGCGTAAATGAATAAAATGTCTGTATTAGGCAACCAAAACACATATTCTCACGGTGAACCTATTTTTTTATTTTGAGGGTTTGATGTTATTTTCCTTCAACTAGCATTTAACGCCTTCAAACTGTCGAATTAAAACTGATAGCAAACAAAGCAGACTGAAATAACCAGAATTATTTGATAAAGGTTCCCAGTTGTTACTTTTTTCTCCTATTGATCAGCGTTTTTGGGTCTGATCTTAGCCCATCCCTTATGCATTCTTTCACATAGTAATAAATCCTTAAAATTAAAAGGATTCTATTTTTGGAGCAATTGGCTTTTGCAAATCCCTTTGAGTGTGAAGGGATTCCATTGCGTCTCTTCATTGCTTGAACCATCCCCAAATGTTGCGTCTGGGCTGGGGTGCTGTCGGTTTTAATCATTTTCAGTGCAAAGCATTATTCAAAGGTACCTAAAAAGCGGTCATTCTGGCTACCGTCTTGAACACAAGAAAGGTTACCATCTACTTCTCGATCATAATGGCGATATGCTTAGCGTGCTTATCTAAACCAGTCACAAAGACATGGGCAAAAAACATGAGGAGCGTTATACCCTAGACTAGACCTGCGTTAAAAAGCCTGCTCGTTTATTACCGCCTCTTGCGAAAAAATTGAATTCTTGTCGGCATACCTCCGGACACTACCAACCCGGGCAAGATGTCTTCCGCCCACTTTGAACAGTAAAGTAGAAGCAGTAACTTAGCATATTCTTTACGACCTAATAATACTAATGTGGCCTACCTTAACAACTCTTAACAAATGCTAGGGAGTGATTAAAATATTTATTCAGTTGTGCGTAAGATACTGTGTCTGCATAAAAGGTCAAAATCTATTTATTTTTGAAAGTTAAAGCAGCATTTGTTAAATACTAAACAATTCTTCCAAAAACATGCACTTTAGAACTGTGAATAGGCTGGTGGTTAACCTCAGACTACAATGGCTGAGGTGATGAATGGTGCACGAGTAGCTACAGTTACAAGATCATTTATTGGAGGATATCACGTCCCTGATGTGCCTATATACCTTTAGCATGTTTAAGTCTTAAAACTCAGAAATGTGGCTCATCTTTATCGGTTTAACGGACAATTAATAAATGAACCAAACAAAAAAACTTTGACTGATGGTGTCTAGTGATGTGTAGAACAGGGAATGTAAACAACTTGGAGTTGCAAATACGCTGAAGTATGATAGATGATAACAAAAGCTCTTTAAATATTCACTGGTACACATTTCACAATTGGCTAGACTGTAGGGTGAAAACAAAAGAAACCAGTTTGCCGACACATAACCAACGGCTATTGCAACACTTTAGCATTATATCCTATCAAATTTAAGAGTTCTACTCAAATGTACACATTTTGAGTAGGACTGAGTCTCAAAATACAATGAGGAGGCATTTCTAAAATGTAACAGAAATGATTGTTTAACTGTTGCTCGAGGTACTGAAAGTTTAGGGACTAAGCAGAGATAACGCCTGTTTTGCAGCTTACCCGGCTCCCATTTCATAGTTGATCATCAATAAGAGAGGTGACTTTACTACCGCTAGGTGAGAAAGAAAGATTTAAAGAGCGACGACGGAAGGAAAGAGCCTTCGATGCCCTTGGAATAATCATAGGGTCAATTCGCTTTGCATAACTACGTTTCATGAATGGAATTAGGGGTAGACCATCCGAATGCAAATACCTAACTTTAACTGCTCACTAGAAATGTTCAAAGTGTGCAAATATTCCATTTCTTTAGAATCGGGTAATTCATATTTGCACGGTTTTGCAGATCTCAATGTTCCTGCCAATTTTTATCTTTTATGAAACAAAATTTCCACAATTACAACAGAATTCTATACCTGAGTTTTTTGATAAATGGTGTAAATTTTTCAGCCAGGTACTCGACAACGTTGGCCGCACTTTCGCATTTCGACTGATATATTTTTACCTGATCAAAAAATGTTGATGTAAAAGATAGACCGTACCTTAGTGAGAGACACAATATGTACCACAAAATTATTAGGCCTTGTAGAACTCAAATAACACTTGACTCGTAGAAAGTCGAATGAATAATGTGCCTTCATGAGAAACTATAGTGCGTCAAATGAATTTATATTTCACAAATTTACTGTTTTATTTTGCACTTGGTAGTGAATAATAAACATTATTTTTTTATAAATAACCAAAAGCGACACCAAAGCTCATTGGACACTGACCACATTTGACCCCTAGTAAGATTGAACCTTCGTGGTGCATTAATTTATTTATTTAGGTTGTTTGATCATAACTGCGCAAAAAATCAGCCTATAACTTGAGAATGAACGTGAAGACAAAAGCCCACGCTTAAGATAAAATTGAGCTCTTCAAGAATTCGAAAGTGTGTTGAAACAAAGGCGGGAAATTATTCAATTAAACTAATTTTAGACCATCATTTATAAAATAGCCTTTGCTGAGCTTTGGGCACCAGTATCACAAGTATCAAATGATTGTTTTCATTGGCAGATGTGAGTTTCAAATATTTTAGCTGGTTTGGAATTACTACAGACTCTTTGGCAATTTAATTACGAGTCTCCCTCATCCCGAAGCAAAAATATGGAGATGAATTTAATGTCTTGGATAACACTATGCAGCATATAGTTAGACATTTGCATTTAGCCAGCCTTTAAACCTACTAGGAATGAGAGTAATTTGCTTGTATGATAGTATGGATGCTGCGATATTCCTCTTGCACTGCACATAAGGTCGACCTAGGCTATCGAGTAAGTACCACAATGAATTGCTTTAGTCCTCTCTCAACCATATCAGTTGGATTACAGGTGAACTTGAGACTTTAAATGGATTGAAGCTCATATTTCAAACGTAATGCAAGCCAAAAGCTAGCTCGTCTCGTTCGTAAACACGAGGTAACCAGATAATGTATAACACTGGTCTATAACTAGGACATTTGCCAGAGTGCAGATGACCTGATTCACGGAGACTGGTGTAAAACACTAGTGGGCTTAATGGTACTTCACGTCTCTGTCTTCTCAGGCACTCATTTTTGCCTTGAATGCTAATTATGCAAAGCAGTACAAACATTAATCAACACACACGCACACAAATGACGCTACTGTTCACAGCAAATTTCTGATGTTGAAGTGGGGAAAATAACTTTATTGGCGTACTTCAAAAAGGACGGGAAACCCTCATTAGGTAGAAAGTCATTGGTATTGACGAATTTAGTATGTTATATTGCTTAGACCAGCAAATAAAGGTGGCTTGAAAAATATGTATTTAACATGTGATTGTAGGTTGGCTTTAAAATATTATATTGTCTCATCGTTCCAAGAGAAGTACAATCCTAACGTGAAGTTTGTTAAAATCCACTGATTACGCAACCAATATTTTTTTCTTTTCATGAGTCCTTAGTGTGAACTGGTCACTCTCTCATCATTTAGATTGGAATGTTTTGCATTGAATCATTTGGTATCGAAATGTCTACGTTTAGTAAATCTGGCCTAAAGAAGCCTGGCTAGAGGCACATTCATTAGGAATGGCTTTCATCAATTCTTCACATTAGCGGTGTCTTGTAGACATACAAATAGCTAGACACATTACTCGACCACCAGGAAGCAGACTAATTTACGAGTCTCAGTCTCGATTCGGCCCAGGTACTCGGTGAGGCGTGCCTGAAAAATTACCACTCGTTTCTCTAAAAATCTCGCTAGCAATCACTTTATAAATACAAGCAGAGAAACCTTTCTAAAGTCGGCTCAAGAAGGCCCCAATTCAATCAAAAAGCATCTGCATTAGTCGCATCTTTCATGAAAGAAATATTCTGATTTTGTAGAGGTATGCGTGGATAAAGTAATTGTTATCGATTTATTATCAATCATGCAGCAAAGTGCACTTCTGAAAGCGTAAAAAGCATAGCATTCCGCAGTCTCCTTCTCGAATAATATCGAACCGAAGTTGCATCAAGGTGCTCTCCAAAAATGTATGCTCTGGTCACATTGAAAAAGACACTTGAGGAATTCAAACCAGCTTTGTATTTTCCTAAGCAAATGAAGGATATATTTAGTGGCGTGGATGTTGCATGGCGAATGTGTGCGAGAGTCAGCTTAGCAGCAAATCTAAGTCAGGTTTACTCAAAACTCGGATAATTTCGGAAGCATTACTTCAGTGATGGTTCCTTCGCTTAAAATGAAGTCTATGAAGTAAATTTTTGACTATCAGAGGTGAATTCTTGGTCAACCCAACTACGCCTACTGAAGGAAAAAAGTTAACGGAATTGCAGTGAAAATGCGATAGCTGTTTTCTAATATACAAAGAAAGCTGTCCCAGCCAATTTCAAAGAAGTGAATTAAGGATAAGAATACTTTGTTGAATTCAGAGAACAGCAAAAGAATGTTATTTGACGTCAGATCTGTAAATCCTTTCCAATTACAATTAAAATATTTTCTATCTGTTTTCTACATTTCACGGTGATCTAAGCAACCTAACAACCGCGAATTACAAATGCGCAACTGCACTCTCAGGGTTGATCAACATTAATGTGACATTCCCACACACACCCCTTCACGGCAGTGCCACTTTCTTCTCTCGTTCCGCGCGCCAGGGCAGGGAGAAAGATGGAGGGAGAGAAAGAGGCAACGCAAGAACTGCATGACAACGCAGAGAGTGGAGAATCGCGTACTACGGGGGTGATTTTCCCACACCAGATTGCGCCTATCAACATGCATGGACTACCAATAATTGGGATCTATGCTTGTTGACTGGTGTGCACACGCACGTTCGCTTACAATCGATAAAAATGAGCATCAACCGATAAAACACAGGAGTTTGTTTTGTTTTAGCAGGCAAAAACGAATAAAGATTTTACGATGGCTAGAAGACGGTTGGCATTTCGAAGAAGTTTGATCAATCACAACCAAATGTTGTTTTTCGTTGGCCTCAAAACAAGCAAGAGTTTATTTAGCCAGCTTTTAG